AAAAATCTAAACATAGATCTGCCATATGATCCAGCAATCCCACTCCTGGGGATATACCCAAAGGAATGCAACTCAGGTTACTCCAGAGGCATCTGCGCACCCATGTTTATTGCAGCGCTATTCACAATAGCCAAGATGCCCCACTATGGACAAATGTATTAAGAAAATGTGGTACTTATACACAATGGAGTTTTACTCAGCCATGAAGAAGAATGAAATCCTATCATTCTCAAATAAATGCAAAGAACTGGAGAATATCATTCTCAGTGAGGTTAGCCAGGCTCAGAAGACCAAAAATCGTATGTTCTCCCTTATATGCCAACTTTAGATCTAGGGCTAATGCAGCAATGTTGTTGGACTTGGCTCACAAGCTAAGGGGAGAGCACATACGGGAGGTATGGGGATAGGTACCACTGCAGAGGAGCTAATACAGAAACCTTAAAGCAACAGAGGTCAATATGGGAAAGTGATTGGGAACTAGTGAAAAGGTCAGGTAGAGATGAATCAATTCGGGTTATAATACACTTGTGCATGGAAGTAATGCTAGGAATCTCTCTGTATAGCTATCCTTATCTCAACTAGCAAAAACGCTTTGTATTTCTCATTATTGCTTATGTCTTCTCTTCAACAATATTGGAGAAAAGGGCAGAACAGGATCTGCCTGGAAGCGAAGGGGAGTGGGAGGGAGAGGGAGGGGGTGGGGGTCACAGGGGAGAAATGGCCCAAACAGTATGCACATATGAATAAATGAATTAAAAAAAATAATAATTAAAACAAAAGAAAACCTCTTGAAAAATAAAAGAATAAAAGAATAAAAACCTAAAATTCTCTCCCCAGCTCCATACTCCCATGACACTTGGCTTCTATTTATTTCATTTATCATAATTTCTCAAATGTTAAGAGATACGTTTGCATGTTTGTATCTCCTGGGCACCTACTACAATCTTTACCATTTCATGGATGTCAACAAATGCTTGCTACCTTGAATTAAACTTAAAAAAAAAAAAAAAAAAAGAAACACGCAATTTTCTGACATGTGGGGACATCATATAGCTGTATATACTGAACAACAGACAATATCCAGTTGATCTGCTCAGTAAGTCACTCTTAATGACTGTAATTGCTCTAAACAATTAGGTAAATAAACCCTATGTTCAGGACAGAATACATGAAAAGCCTGAAAGACTCTTCTGAGTGGGTCCATTTTGAAATAACCTGGATCACCATCACTTCCAGATATATTTGGGAAATGAACTGGAAAATCGAAAATAAGCAAGGTCTTGCATTTGAGGCGCCATAATTCAGGTACAGATTCCACAAGTCCTCAGAATTAGTCTGCTCAGTCACTTTGGTCAAGGTCCCATGTAGACCTGAGGCTCAGATCTCTTACAGAGATTTCATATGGAAACAAGTTGTAGGCCCACCATAGTTTTGGTTTGGTCTTAAGGTTTGGAAGAAAGAGAAAAGGGATTGTTTCCCTAATAAAACTGATTGATAGATAATATTTTAGAAAAACTAATTTTGAGTATACACATCCTCCAGAAGATTCTTCAGATAAGAAGGATAAAATTTTAAGCATACTTTATATCAGCGATGCAACTTAGTTTTATTGATTGGTATTTTTTTTTCTATTGACCCATCGTAACTGGTTTCAGTTTGTTCACAAGAACAAACAAAAAATGTCTTAGAACAAGAATTCAATGTCCTTAGTTCATAGGTGGTTTGCATATATGAAATGAAGTTTTTAGTCCTACAAGACATTGTTGGGAACTGTTGTTCTAAACTAGTAATTGGTTAAGAAAGGGATCATCTTGGACACTACAAAATGCTTAAAATAGAAGTAACAGTAACACCAAGATGCAAAATAAAAATTGTAACATGGCTGGCATAAACTGTTTCTAATAAATGACAACTAAAAAAGGAGATAAACTTTGGTTCAAATCTTAACTTTTCCTTCTACTTTATGACATTGAGTAAGGTACTTCACTTCCTGTACCTCAACTTCCTCCTTTGAGATTATTTTTAGAATATTAAATGAGAAAGTGGAAGCAAAGCATTTAGTATTGTGGCTGAAATACAGAAAGTTTTCAGAATGTAGACTGTTACTATTTAGCATTTACTAAGTCCTTTACATGCATTTCTTGATTTAATCTTTAGTAGAACTATGTGAACTAAGCATTTTATCTGTCTTTACAAAGAGATGAAAAAAAATCTTGTATTTGAGGTCATGAAGCAATAAAGCTAAGATCAAAGAGCAAAGAAGCTAGAACTGAAAACATGGTGACTGCAGGATAACAGTCTGTGCTGTAATCTGACTCCAGTTCCTATGCTCTTAAGCATTATGCTGCAGTGCCTCCAGGGTGCTTTCTTATTGTTTCTAAAGTTGTTAAATTGGATTGATAAACTTGTATCTTCTAATTTGATCCCCCCAGACACACAAAAATTAAAATATCAACTCAAAAAAGATTAGATGACTTAAGTGAGAAGCTTACAAAATTTAGGGCTGTAAATTTAGACCTCACTATCAATGTACTATTTTTCCTCTTTTAGTTTCATAAACAAAAGTCTTCTAAAAACTCCAACATACATAGATAAAGCAGAGAGGCTCTGACTGAAGTTAAGAGTGAGAAGTTTGGAACCCCACCCATGCAAACTAAGTCTGAACCTAGGATTCCAAAGAACACATTTGAGCTAATCTACAGCCTTCATTTTTCAATGAAGGAACATAATGCCCCAGACAGCTTAAGTCATTTTTCCCAACTACTTGTGTTGAAATTTATACTAGTAACTTTTTAAGGGAATAGGAAATACATGTTTGTGAATTCTCCAGAATGTTTTAAACATTATTTTATATTTGGAAAACTAAAAAACAAGCAAACATTTTTCATGCTGAGGTACAGATAGAGCATGAGATGTTTCTAAAAATTATTTGGGAGACAAGAACTTAAGAAATTAAGAAACATCAATTCATGCAGCCATTTCACAAATAAACTTATATTAATTGAATCTACATACCTTTTTCCCTAGTGCCATATCCAATGTCAAATCAAGATAAACACCTTGATTTGGATGAGTAAAGTCCAAACTTTGATATTTCTTAAGTAAGTGAACAGCTTTCTCCACTTCATATATCTGCCTTGGGTATAAGCGTTTTAAATAGACATCATCCTCAGGTTCACCTTCCATGTAGCGGTATGACTTTATCTTTTCTATCTCATCTGGTTTTTCATCTGATGCTTTTTCTTTGGCACCCTTTTTTGTTTTCTTTGCAGGCCTTTAAAAAAGATACATTCCAGATAAGTTACATCAGTATGTATTTTCTAGGAGACTTCATTTGTGTGGGTTTGTACTGGGGTTTGAACTCAGGGCTTCATGCTTGCTAGGCAGGTACTCTACCACTTAAGCCTCTCCACCAGCCTGATAGGGCTCACCAACTATATGCCCAGGCTGGCTTCAAACTGCAATCCTCCTGATCTCTGCCTCCTGAATAGCTAGGATTACAGGCATGAGCCACTGGCACCTGGCTCTAGGAGACTTTTTAAAAAAGACAAGAGAAAAGTATCAAAAGATAGTTTATTTTCTTTGAGACAACTATAGAAAATACACTGGAACATACAGGCATAGGGAACAACTTTCTAAATAGAACTCCAATGGCTCAGCAACTAAGAGAAAGAATGAACAAATGGGACTGCATCAAACTAAAAAGCTTCTGCACACCAACACAGTCAGTCACTAGACTTAACAGCCTGCCCACAGAATGGGAGAAAATCTTTGCCAGCTATTTATCCAATAAGGGAATACTATCCAGATCAACAGGGAACTCAAAAAACTCAACCCCCAAAGAATCAACAACCCAATGAATAAGTGCACATGTGAACTGAATAGGGAATTTTCAAAGCAAGAGGTACAAATGGCCAATAAATACATGTACTGTTCAACTTCTCTGGCTATAAAAGAAATACAAATCAAAACTATACTAAGTTTTCATCTCACAGCAGTTAGAACAGCAATCTTCAGGGGCAAAAACAACATCAAATGCTGACAAGGATACAGTGAAACAGGAAACTTTATACACTATTGGTGCAAATGTAAATTAGTACAACCATTATGGAAAGCAGTATAGAGATTGCTTAAAAAGCTAAAAATAGAACTGCCATATGATCCAGTGATATTGCTCTGGGCATATATCCAAGGATACAAGAGACACTTGCACACCAATGCAGCACTGTTCACAATAGCCCAAGCTATGGAAACAGCTCAGATACCCTACAACTGACGAATGGATCAAGAAAATGCAGTATACAATGAATGGCTATTCAGAATTGTCACAAAAAATTCCCCCCCACACCCATACTATGAATATATTACTACCAAAAATGTAAAAAAGACAAAATGTGGCGTATTTCTACAATGCGGTCTTATTCACCCGTAAGGAAGAAAGACCATGCAGTTTGAAGGTAAATGGATGCAATTGGAGGACATCATTTTAAGTGAAGTAAGTCAAATTCAGAAAGACAAAGGCCACGTTTTCTCTCATATGTGAAACACAGAATCAAAAGATAAACATTTACACAAAACAAACATGATCATATACAAACTTATATGTAGAACATGTTTCTAATAGTGGAACTACTCTATGGAACTTAGGAGAGAAGGGAAAGGAAAAGAGAATGACAGAGCATCAACAATATTGAAATACGTAACATCTGTGCAGGCAGAGGATATAATGATAGGTACCGAAAGCTGTTGAATAATGGGGGTAGGGGGAGGTGGGAGGGAAGAGGTAAGGGAGAGTAATGGAAGGGGTTGAACTGACCAAAGTAAAGTATACTCACAGGGGGATACATAGAGAAACCCCTTTGAA